AGCGAGAACCAAGGATCAGACTCGTAGTTTTGTTTCAAAGAGGATCACTTTAAAGTCGTGTCTGGCAACAAAAAGCGTCAACTACTGTGTTGACTGTTGTGTTGTGTACCTGCCTTTAATGTTTAGGCTCTATTTGTGAAGAGTTAACTTGACATATGAGCTATCTAGAGCTAACATGCCCTCTGTTCTTGCACTCAGTTAGTGTTCCTGGAGCTTTTTTATCTGATTGAATTGATTGTTTGACCAAGTAATCACCAATCTAATTTCAAGAAGCATTGAAGTGTTTAAGTAGATTTTTTATTTTTATTTTATTTTACGTGGACGCTAACAAAACATGTTGAACTGAAAGTAAAGTAAAACTTCACCAGTGAGCAGCTGGAACCTGTTTCCAGTTTGTTGAGCTCTGTTCTGTGTCGTTTGTAGTGCTGTATGGAGAGTTGACTCGCATCCTGAACCACATCATGGCCATCACCACACATGCTCTCGACATTGGCGCCATGACTCCCTTCTTTTGGATGTTCGAGGAGCGAGAGAAGGTAACGGAACAACAATCACAAGGTGTACTGTGGTTCTAATCTGGGGATTGTTCTAGTTTTTTGGGGGTTTTTTGTTGAGTCAAGCCTGCTCCCAAAATCACTGTATCTTTGATTCATAAACAGTAGCTATGTTCTCATCAGTTAGTGGCACAGTGACCTCCAGCTCTTCAGGTGTTTACTCAACAATATCCTGTGTATGAGTCAGGATGTGGGCCACGTCTGACTTCACATTTTCACTGAGTCACTGAAAGTGTCCCAAAAATGACAGGACTGTAAAATGAGTCAACCGCTTGAGTCTGAATCTTCTGCTGGCGATACAATGTGATGATCTGAAGAGAATCCTGGTTTACAACATCCAGCGTAGCATGAAATGAGGAGTTTGTGGCTCCACGGTGATGTTACTTAATTCCGGGTTGCTTTGATAGTGAGATTCGGGTTGTCTGTGTTTTTAGGTCAGACTGTTACTTATCTTCTTTTTGACAATACCCCACAGATTCACTAAGGGGTTCAGCCAAGTCAAGCAAACACAGTAGTAAGTGGTCATCAAAGGATTTGGTGTTAGTGAAATGAAAACTGCATCATCATAAATCCTGTCAACAGGTGGAATACGCAGTCCTGCAAAATCTACGGCTACACGGTTGCATAAAGTACTAATAATACTAATAAGCTGATAAAACAATGGTACCCCGAATAATCAAAGTCTAGAAACTTCACACTGAACTTCAAACGTCTTGCATTCGGTGTCTGTTGACTAGACACTTGATTGCAGTGGCACCAGCCTCAGTCTACTCATTGAGAGTCTCAGTTGTTTGATTGTAACAGCATTCATCAGTGAAATGATAACCTATCGACTGGTACATACGATTGTAGCTTTTCTTTTAAAATAGGCCGTCTAATCCAGCGTATGAGTTTTGCCACTAATCCTGAGACTGTGACACTACTGTACATGGAAATGTGTGGGGTTTTTTTTCTTTTTCTTTTCTCTTTAAGTCTTTAATTCTTGTCTCCTCTCAGATGTTTGAGTTTTATGAACGAGTGTCTGGAGCAAGGATGCACGCTGCATACGTCAGGCCTGGTGGCGTACATCAGGTAGGAGAAGAATTCATTACGTTTTTATAACTAGAAAGTTCAACACTTCTCTAAACACGCTTTTTAAAATCTATCTATAGATACATATAGATTATATAGATAGATAGATGAGAGATGAAATCTAAAGATCAGTATAATATCGTTGCATTTGAATGTGTTTCAGGATTTGCCCCTTGGCCTGATGGATGACATCTATGAGTGGTGTAAGAATTTCTCCATTCGGATTGATGAAGTTGAAGAGGTGAATGACTCCATGTTCTCCTCAGTTCTCCACGAGCTCTCAGTGAGCTCAAGCACGATGGGCGTGTGGAGCTTGTGGATGCAGTAAATTTAAAATGACATTCATGTTGGATTTCCTTCATGCAGATGCTGACCAACAATCGTATCTGGAAGAATCGCACTGTGGACATCGGAGTGGTTTCTGCTGAGGAGGCCCTCAACTACGGTTTCAGGTAACCCATAAATGAAAGTTCACTGACATATTAGAAAATTAAGTTACACTGATGACAATGACTTCACTTGCACAGTAGTGAGCTGTTATAAATGCATTCTAAATGAATAAACAAACCCTCCTAAAGGGAAGTGACACTGCTGTGTCAGAGGCAACGCGTGTTTTCAGTCTTAATAATGGTGCAATCTGCCACAAACTTATAAAATCAGTTTGTATAATTCATTTAAATAGTCTCCTTCTGGAAGCTGCTAGAAATACATGTGTTTGTAAACCTTGAAATGCATCACTCTGCTTTTTCCACCACCAGTGGAGTCATGTTACGAGGGTCTGGAATCAAGTGGGACCTGAGGAAGTCTCAGCCCTATGACAAGTACGATGAAGTGGAATTTGACGTTCCGATTGGAAGCAATGGAGACTGCTATGACAGGTAAGACTCCTCCAGACAAACAGCCCGAGTCTTCTCTATAGCAGCCCGGGTATGAGCACGCCAGAAGAATATTTGGTCTCTTTATTATATATATTCTTCGACTGTCTCTTATTATTGAGCAGTTTAGTCTTTTTGAAATGAAATACTTGTGATTTATGTGAGTTTATCTGTTGCTTTTTTACAAAAGGCTGCATATAGAACCAGGTCTTACCACTCGGCAGCTGCCATGGCGCATATCTCTGTTTCTGATCAAAGCAACACGATGTAAATTTAGCAGTAAATATGTCACCCAGTTTAAAACTCAAACGTTCAGCCTAGCAACAGAAAGCTTCACAGAGACATTATTGGCCAACTGTGTTTAAAAGGAATCCTGGTTTACGTGCCTACACGGTGAGAGCTTGATGCTCCTGGCTTTCATGAATGCAGCATAAATAATCAGAATGAGCCGCGTACAAAGCACATTGTGGTTCACCAGTCTCACTGGCATGAGTGGAACACATCCACTTCTGTTTTAATCAGTCAAAATGGCCCTGGGAACTATTTTTTCTCTCCTTCAGGTCGATTTCCTGTACTATACTATACCGTAATACTGTAGTTGTGTAATGCACTCTGAGCATGATGATGCCAGACTGAGCTGCTAACGTCTGCCTTCCACCTTCTCTGCAGAGTGTTTGAGGTGTATATCGTGTTGTGGCGTAGAGCAACATCAGTCCTGTGGTTTACTGCTACTTGTGTGTGTATGTGTGCGGCTCAGGTATCTGTGCAGAGTGGAGGAGATGAGGCAGTCCCTGAGGATCATGCACCAGGCGATGAACAAGATGCCAGAGGGCGAGATAAAGGTGGATGATGCCAAAGTGGCTCCGCCTAAGAGGTCTGAGATGAAGGTGTGTTGAGTAGAGAGGTTTCCTCTTTTGCTATCTACGTTCTTCTCTGTATTTCATCACTCGTGTGTTATTTCAATTTCTTGTTAATTTGTGTTCACTCGTCCTTTTTCAGAGTTAGGACAGTTTTATTGTAAAACTCAATTAAATTTGGCTGCACTCAAGGCTGGAAACCACCTGTACTTCCTCACCATTGTAATGTTAACATTCCCTCAATATACACTGATGCTCTTTTCTTTTTATGCTTTTTCCCCCCACAAACTTTGTGTTATTTTGCTAGATGTCCATGGAGTCTCTGATTCACCACTTTAAACTGTACACAGAGGGCTACCAGGTCCCCCCTGGGGCCACATACACAGCTGTAGAGGCACCTAAGGTGAGAGCACTCAGTGTAGAGTATAAGGACAAATTGTGCAGTCATCAAAGTGTACGACTAAGGCTTTTTGAGTCTTAATTAGATGGGACTTTGCTGTGGTGTAATATGCTTATTGGAGTGTGTGTGTGCGTGTGTGTGCGTGCGTGTGTGTGGCTTGCAGGGAGAGTTTGGTGTATATATGGTTTCAGACGGCTCCAGCAGACCCTATCGCTGCAAGATCAAAGCCCCTGGATTCGCTCACTTGGTGCGTACTTAAAAATTTCACACGACACTGTGAAATATTAAATACTCCCACCATCAATTATTCAGCTCATTTAACGGCTTGTCCTCTAGGCTACTTTGACTTCATTAACTATATTTTATTAAGCGTTACGGAGCAGTTGTTTTTTTTTTTTGGTCCAAAGCTCTCCTCGGCTTCCTTCCTGTTCGTCTTAGCTCATGGGTAAACGAGCTAATGCAGTTGAACGTCGTCATTAGAATTTGGGTTTACAAGGCTAAAAATGTGTTTGAAGTTGCATAAACAAACTAATTGAGTCGTTACTGTGATAACTCGAGGCTATAATCTCATGAATTAAGACAACTTTTGTGCTCTCGTGCATACTGGAAGCTTCACTTGCTCTAAATGTTGCTTCATGTTTGCTTCTTTCTAGGCCGGTCTGGATAAAATGGCCAAAGGACACATGTTGGCAGATGTGGTGGCCATCATTGGTGAGAATGTCACAATAACTTAAATACTTGCAGACATGCAGAAGCGAGCGTGCAAACGGAGCTGCTTCACATCGAGTGTTATCTTCTTGCAGGTACGCAGGACATAGTGTTTGGAGAGGTGGACCGTTAAAGCGATACTCTTAATGTGTCGCTTCCCCAGCGAGGACTCTCTCTCTCTGTCACACCACTATCTTGTCAGACGGGCTTTCTTCCTGTTCTCTTTTCACTGTAGTGAGCTTTTTGACAGGCGGCTTCGTTTATCACCATTCATGTACAATGCCCAAATCAACCTAATAAATATTTTATGTCTGAACAGTAAACGCATCTGTTTTCTTTGTCCCACTGCGATAAGTTGACATCTTAAGGCTTCGTAAAGTCTAAAACACCCTGTTTTTTTTTTCTTTTTTCTTTCCACGCTCTTGTGCCGCCTGAAAACAAATAAAGTATTAAAGATGACAGCAGACACCGACGCCTGAGTGAAGTCTTTCCTCTTGGTTGGTGTTAACAGGGGGAGTGGTCTGATGAGATCTGAGACAAATGGACTTAGAGCTCAGACCACAACTTCCCCTGTGAGCTGTAAAGCTGGGTATGCAGTAGTCGAAGTCTTTAGCGGAAAAAAAAAACGCACCAAGCAGTCGTGTTTGCTCGCTGTTCAAGGAGCTGATTATCCGTGTCGAGCCTGTGTTATCATGGCTGGGTGGTGCAGGAACCAAATGCTGGTGGCCATTCCTCTGTGGATGTGTTTTGGGAGAGCCGGTGAGTTGACACAAATACTGGAACGCTTGTTTTTATATCACCAGATTTAATGTCCAGAGATCTCGCGCTTGGTTTCAGTTTCCGAGAAAAATGAACAGTTTTTGGGTGAACGGAGGTGTAAAGTTAATCAGGATGAACATGATGTGTTTTTATTATGTGGTTGACTAGATTCAACTCCTGTTCAATTAAACAGCATTTCTTTAACTACACTATCCTGTTTACCGAAAGTTAGAGAACACTGAGGTTTTCTGACATTTGGCCTTATTCCGCTCAGTGTAGGCAGCAGATGTATTTACCACATTTTAGTTCCTGTGAGAAGAGAAACTGACCCTGCTGAGTTTGTTGCTTGTGGCAAGGGGTGTGGATGCTGGTCTATATGGCCAGTAGCAGCTTCTGCATTTGTTCAGCCACTTCTGCGTATGTAACAAATTCAGCTCCCTCCAAATATGGGAAACTTGTCTCTGACGGTGTATGTGCAAAAATCTTCTTTCTTTTTTTTTTTGTTAAGTAAAAGATAAAATAAAATTACACTGTTGTTCTGTTTTTAATCAAATACAACCAACAGTTAATGGGATCAAATAAACACATTTTTACAGGCTAAGCTGAAACACGTACAGGTTGTCGGCCCCTAAATCGGCCATTAATTTTGCAGACGGAAACGCGTCTGGTGAAGTTGCTGTGAGATCATTCTGGGATATTTTTTTGACTTTTTAATGGTTGTCAAATGTCGATGTTTCTCTTTATGCAAATGTGGATTATGATTTTTTTATTTTTTTTTAAAGAAAAAAGATGTTTTATTTATTTAAAGAACAGAAGTGAGAAGGTAGCAGGGAACAGTTTCGTACTTTTATCCCTAAACATTTGCAGTTTGCATTTTTTTGTCTCAAAACACTGAACAGATTAACCGTGTAAGAGACATTTGCACCTTAAATAAGGTGCAAATGTCTGGTTCCATCTGAGCGGCCTACAGCTAGTCTACAACTAGTATAAAATTCTTAAAGAAAAAAAATCTCTTCATGTTTCCTGAGTACCCCGTAGTTCTAATGCAAGAGGAAAAAAAGTAAAAGGGTCTCAGTGATTTTTATTTTTATTTTGAATTGCTGTGCTCACTGCTGATGCCCCAGAAGTCAGGAAAGAAAAAAGTGTCACTACATCACTATCAAACCAATAGCCGTCAGGCCACTTACATTTCTTAAGAACCCAACACTGCTTATGAAAAACCAAAGATGCCAAGAAAAAGTAAAGATAAACCGCAACATTTTAAGATCACATGCAAACGTAATGGATACACCTGAGAGCAAGCATGTCTGTTACACGTGTGGCAGAAATTTAGTGGCGGTCCAACTTTACATCACACTGTTTGGAAGCGAGTCTCTGTGTGCACAGCCGTCATGTGATCAGAGATTTTAGAGAAGTGAATTCATGAGAAGAGCGAAACAAATTGTGAAGGAAGGAACAGACCAAAATGACGTTAGCTGTCTGGGGAAATTCACAATGAAGACATCATCCTTTCATCCAACTGCAAATAACTGCGTACACATCAAAGTTTTAAAGGCCATAATATACTTTCAGTGTATACTTTCAGCCTTAATAAGAAAAGCCATTATTAAAAGTTCATTATAAACCATTCAGACTTTTTGACGAATTCTTCCTATGATCTCATCTTTTCCATCTGAATTTAGCAAATTTGAGGAAATCCAACCCTCTGTGCTTTGACTGGCCAATAGCTGTTTTTGGAGTCATAAAACAAAACTTCTCTTTTCATCTACCCAATCTAAAGTTACACAGGATCTTTGTAATCACGTAAGTTTTAGTTCCTTGAAAAACAAAGTAGCTGTCAAAAAAAAAAGAGACTACTACAAAAACTGAATTATTTGGGCAATAATTACTTATAATTCTAAAAAATACTTATTTTAAAAAAGGTCAGTTTCTTGAATTTCTTATATCCAGAACAGTTTTAGATTTATCAACACTTTTATGGATTATAAATGACTGAATATGACACGATCGCGCAATATTGAAATTACACACAACCTTCAAAGTACTGTAATGTAAGATCAATGCTTTTTAAGGCCGCTTGTTGCATCTTCTACAGTCAGTCAGATGTTTGTGATGTCAAAACATGACCCAGTACTTTTGTTTGTTTGTCGACACTTTGCTTGTAATTTCTGCAAGATAAAAGAGGTTTTTATATGATCATAGAGTTAAAACTATCTGTTGAGTACTGTTCGGTGCTTCCACTATGTGGTAAACGTGCAGCGAGAAGAGCCTGTTGAATATTGTAGCGTAGGTTCTTATTCACTTTAAACTTTAGGCCTGAACATATTTGAAGTTTTCCTCCCATGCTGTTTGTTAGTCACACTTCTTTTAGTAGACGATCAACTGAGAGCACAGATAACAGCATTAAGGATTTTTGTTGTATCTTCTACAGTCAGTCAGACAGATGTTGGTCGTTGAAAGATACGATCCAGTCCTTCTAGTTATTTGTAGACAGTTTGCTTGTAATTTTTGCAATATGAAAGGTTTTTGAATGATTATAGTGTTAAAACTACCTGTTGAGTACTGTGTAGCGCATATTTGAAGTTTTCCTCCCATGCTGTTTGTTAATCACAGTAGTCGATCAACTGAGAGCACAGATAAGGCACAGATAAGACACAGCATTAAAAAAAGGCAACATACCCCATATCTTATGCTATTTGAATGTATTTATGGATACATTTAAACATGTTACATGTTGCAGACTGACCGACAGACAGCGTTCTGCAGTTGCACAGAACTTGCTGCCATCGCTGTTTCTCAGTCTAAAGTGGTGGCAGCGCCATTACCCAACAAAACAGTGTTATCGCTGATATAAGTGATATATCAATGATATATAATCATTTTAAATGAATATATGATCTAATCTAATCTGCTAACGACATTCCCTTGTGTTTTCTCAGCGGCTCTTGCTGAGCCCCAGATCTGTTATATCCTGGATGGCATCCTGTTTCTGTACGGGATCATCCTGACAGCTCTCTACTGCAAAGTCAAGGTTTGCATACGATATAAATGTATATATCTTTGCAGAAGCCTACATCAACACTAATATACGGTTTTCATAAAAGTTGTATCCAAGAAAGTTGAAATGTATCTACAGTAGGCTATCAGCAAAGTAAAGCACACAAACTCTTAAGATGGCTATAAAAATATTCTCTTGACTGTGGTACTTCTACATGCTGACAGTGATGATTTTAGATTTAAACTATTTTTGCAGCACAAGTACTTGGTCATTATCTTACTGCACTGCACTTCCTTTATTTGTGACAAACGAAAGAAGATATATCTAAAGCGTGTGTAATGTTGCTAACTCTAAAGTGACAACAGGAAATGCACGTATATCTTACCATACCTTTAGGGTTATACTCAAACGTTACTGTAGTTTTTCTTTAATGATCCCTAACTTTGCCTTCTACAGATCTCCAATGCTAAAGAGGCCGCTGGGAAAGGAAAGCCGAAGGGGGTGAGAATGGATGCAGACACACAAGTGCATACCTTACTGACACAGGCACAAAGAAGCAACACGCTGTCTAAACTGCAGACAGCAGCGACACATACACACCACAGCACAAAAGTAGCGTTTCGGTAAACAACCAGAAGGCAGAACTTCACCAGAGACAAAGATGAGCTCATTGGCCAGGTCAAACCTCAGTGGACAAACCCTGAGGTCTGAAAATGGAGCAGAAACTGAAGGATGAAGCTGCCACACCATAGCCGCATACAACCACGTCTACTTAGTTCATGACATATTTAATCCAAATCTCTATTAAGGACTTACTACTCAGCTTACTTTCGAGCTCGTGTAGACATCTGTCGCTCTGGGAAGGTTTAGAAAATGAACAGGGTGTCACTTAGAGCCAAAGAATCTGGTTTTAGCTATGTGGACATTTAACATTTACATGAAGCCAAGACAGTTTTATAAATACCCGTAGTTCTAAATTTAATCCACAAGCAGCAGCTTCAGTGACAGTTTTTTTCTTTCTGTCAAAAATCTGACTTGCACAGGATACAGAGATAGATAGTGTTCTTTTTCTCATGCAAAACTAGTGCGCTGCTTTACCCCCTTTTTAAGTCTATTAATTTCCTATTGCTAGCCACAAACTCTGCACCGCCTAAGCCACTCATGTGTTGCTTACTGGCTTCTATTTTTTTTCTCAGATCTCTAACTAGTTACTAAGAACCAAAAAAACCCGTCATTACAATGTCCGATTTCTTTAATTTCTACTGTATCTGACATTTTTCTCTCCGCTTTCTTTGTCAGAATGTTGAAGAGGGCATATATACGGTGAGTTGTTGTGCTATCAACATTTCAAAGAGAAGAAAACCAGCAGATAGTTGAATGCTGGATTATTATTATAATTATATTTAATGAATTATGGACTGAAATTCTCCTCATCCTCCCCCTCAGGGTCTCACTCCTCATGCAACGGACACATATGAAACAATCGGCATGAAGAAGTGATATGACGAATGACTTCTTTCTCTCTTTGTAATTAAATGTTGCACATCATACTCAGCTTAGGTCTTCAAGAATGTATGAGATTTTGTACATCACAGGTTATTTCCCTTTTGCTTTTAGAGATTCTAGAGGAAGTTTGGAAGGAGTCACAAACAGGGAAGTTGAGGCCAGAAAGGGGAGATTGCGAGAAATGCTTTTTCCTTGTTGCATGACATACTTTCATTGCTCGTATATTTAACATTAACACAAACTCAGTTTGACAGCGGTAAAGCTTCAGAGATATTTTATATTATAATACCTAGTAACTGAAAAAGAGTGATTTTTGCTTGATATTTTTATATATATAAATATAAACTCTTTTTTTTATATAGACAAGCTGTACTGTCCATCTCACTTCCTCCTTTTCTTCTTTTTTTTGCTGCCCGTTTGTGTGAACATGAGAAATTGTGTGTTTTAGTTTTAGCCTCCCAAGTTCTGCTATTCAAAAAACAAGAAAACAACAACAAAACAGAACAGAAGAAGACATGACTGTTTTAAAAAATGCCGCAGTTTAAGATGTTCAATCGTTGTTGAGGAGTACAGAAAAACATAATCGTGCTTCTCTTTAATGAGCAGTGTTTCCTGTACACCACAGGATGGCAGCGATGCTGTCTTTGGTCCTCACCTGTGTGCTATCGAAAAAAAAATCATGCATGTTATTTTGTAAGTAAACTTCTGCCTTAAAACTGTCACATGTACATACACACCAAACCTATTAAAAGTTTTATGTTAACATTAAATGTTGTGTCTCCAAGAAGCCTCCAACCTTGTGATTTAAAACCCCAAAATAATAAAACAAAACATTACTATACTATACTAATAATGATTAGTAACTGGCAGTACTGCTGGCGTCCTGTTGGTTTAGCTGGTTACAGCTGCTCAGATTTATTTTGTAACAAGCTGTGAATATGCCAGTTACATGTATGCAAATGAACAAGATTACAAATACCATTATGTGCAGGGTGGTGTTTTATTGTGTGTTTGTGTGGTTTTTCTTTTTAAATTGAGGAAGTCTTCACAGGAATTTTTTGCATAGTACTGATGTTTGTGACGATCCCTTTAAATTAAAGGATTAATTTGCTTTCTTTATGAGGGAGGAGGCACTAGTTTAGTATCAGGGTGAGTATTAAAGCGAAACATTCGTTCTTTTAAACAGCGTCTTTGTGCCTGCTTTTCACCTGCCTCTCCTCTGAGCAGAGCAAGTAAAGACGAGAAAATAACTGTCATGTTGCCTCAACCAAACCGGAAAGGTGACTTTTTTTCCCCGCAGCTGTGTGCGCGTGAGTGTGTGTTTGTGGCTTGTCGGGTTGTTAGGTGTGTGTGTATGTCAGAGCGAGAGCAAGAGAGTGAGAGAGAGAGAGAGGGGTGTAGCTCAAACAGGTGTATCCCAAACAGGTAAAGCTGCGCCTTATTTTCCTCTAAAGGGCAAACATGATGGCGTGGGCTTAACAACCATACAGGACTCTAAACTCAAAGGATTTAACTTTTTCACAAGGACGGGGTTACGCACAGTTTTTCCATTTCTCAAAGGGACCTGGTTCTCAAAGAAAAAACATCTCCAAGGATGATCCGGCAGTACGAGCCATGAGCGTGCCTCAATGCTTCGAGCCTGCCTGTCAGTTAGGATCATATTACCTGGACTTATGAGCTTTCTTCCACTGCTGAAATTGTCAAAAGTTGTGCACAGTTAACAGCAACTCCCAGAGAGAATGACATCTCTGCTGAACAGACTCTTTCTGTGCCTCTTTGTCCTCCATGTCTTTGGTAAGATAAGCGCTCATATGAAGTCTGATGAAAATGATATTTAAAGATGTTTTGTGTTCTTTTAATACTATATATCTTTATCCCCTGCCTTTACTGACCCCTTTATTGTGCTGTGATTGTTTAATGTGTTGCCTATGCGCCGCTGTACTCCACTATTCACAGCGATAAAGCAGCTGTGTGTCACACATCAAACGCATCGGAAGTTAAAAAAGGCTTTTTAAAAATATCATGATGCACACTTTGGTTTTCCTGTACCCTATTAAGGCCTAATACAGTATCTGAAGCATATTCAGGAGCTATGTTTTGCAACCTCTAAAGGCATAGTCAGTTTTCTCAAGAATACATAGAGGAGGGCTGTTAGGAAACACTCCTGGCTTCTGTTTCTGGAAAAACTGGTTGCTGTTGATCAATACGCTTCTTTCTGCAGCATTCATATGAACTCTGTGGATCCTCCTAGTGTGTATGTGTGTGCGCTGCTTAAGTATAAATATGTCATTCAAAAATGTGACGATATGATAAATAATATCCACACAGCCTTCATAAGACTTTCTACTACATTTACTTAAACACAACACCCAACGTTATAAAATAATGTTGCTAAATTTACCCAGAAATGCAAATACTCCCATGTTGTCTACAGGTGTTCCACAAGGCTCGATCCTGGGCCCACTATTCATTTCATATTTAAATACTATGTACAAACATCACTACTCAAATGTATGCAAAACATGTCAGAAGCTGCTGATGCACTTACAAAATACACGTTATACGGGTACTCCAGAGGTCTGAGTGATTTAAACTTTCGCTTAAAGCTCAAAGGGGATAAGGCCTGTGAGTCAGAATCAGTCAGACTGATCTGAGATAGAAGGTAAGGTCATTACCCACATCTGTTTGAAAACCTTACCGAAAGCTAGTTCTTACTTACTTCACTCTTACAGTGTTTGTCAAACACTGTTTACTCAAAGTCTGAATGGCTGTGGTTTATATTATATACCGTTTGTCACTGTAAAAACTGCACATTAGCCCATAAGCTGTGCAGCGATCAGAAAGGGGAGGAACTCTTTGAGAGATGGACATCAAATTGATTTATTATCAAATAAGTCATTTATATTTATCTTTCTCAACAATAAAACTCAATGACACTTTAAAAAGTGTCCGCAGTCTTTCTGTGGATGCTGCACTTCCTCTTGTTTTTTGTCTAAGCTTTCTTTGCTGGGTGCTATTGTCTGTCACCATCTCACTATTGGCAGTCTGCCCTCATCTGCCTACATACATATCTCACCATTGTAGAGATGTAAGATGTGTATGTGATTTAACGGTAAGAGATCCTGATCCTGATTTCTTATCTTTTAATCACAACAGTGGACACAGGGCTTTGTGTCATGACTCTGAGTACCCTTCCAGTTTCTACTGCATTTTAGTGTGGTTTTTGTGTAATTTATGTGGCTTTTTTGTCTTTGCTTCAGCCATGGACATTTTTGTTTTTAAACAATACATCATAATTTTGCCTGAATCAGTCCTTAAGTTTATAGATTGGCGCTATTATACATCTTTTGTGAGACTTGGGGTGCTAGCTTAAAAAAAACAAAAAACCTAATATTGTATGAGACGTGAACTTTGCAGGTAATTCATGGACAAAAATGACTTGGAAAAAGTTAACATGAACAGATAATGCTACACTAGACTGAAGAAAACCTTTCAATCCCATAAAAGCAGGGTAGGCTGGGCATCATTCCAGTAATGCAGCACAGGCAGATTCCAAAGTAGGTTTAAACATCAGGGTGACACATACACACACACATTCATGGAAAAAAAAACACACCTGTCTGATGAGAAGAGTCATCAGGTCTGCTGGTAAATGCATGATTCACATCGTACCCACGGACATATCTGAACAGATTCTACCGCATCAGCTACTGAATCAACGTCCGAACGAAGCCATGAATGAAAATATGAATATTCCTAAAAGCTCGAATGAAAACTAACTTATGTGGATAAACTGACTTATTCTAGCTGCTAGAAACAACCAGAGTTTTCAGTTCTTGTTTCCAGATATATATGAGTATTAAAAACAAAACTACACCTTGTAACCTTATTAGGCAAGCAAGCTGTTTTTAGCTTTCAGCCTTTAGATGACAACCGGAAATGGTGGCATCGTAGTATCAATCAACTCCAGCTTGATCTAAGAGCAGCAATATGACAGCAGGCATTGTGCGTATAGGCAAAACTTCCACAAAACTGAATTCAGTTTTATTTTAGCATTGTGCCAAGGTGAACATGCACAAATGCAAAGAAGCATTAAATACAGTTTTAAACCGTGTAACAGTGCGCTGCACATATTGCAGGTAACGTGAAGGATTGTAGTCTGTTGAGAGCAAACAGGTTAGCAAACTGAAAGGAGGAAGGGGAGAAAAGTAAAAAAAAAAACAAGATATTTATGTAAACTTGTGGTTTGCACTAAATAATGCTGCTTTGTGACAATGAGACATGTGATACGATGCACTTTGTGTTAACTTTATGTTTTCTGGGGTCCCTTTGTATGTGTGCAGACACTGAGCATTTAGTTTCTTTGAAAGCTTATCTTGAACAACTAGTTATCCGACATATCTTCACTTGTACTGACTCATGCTTATGATATACAGCTTGTTTTCTGTACTAACTCTGTGCCTTCAAACCTCACCCGTTGCCTTTAAACACTGCCATTTTTTAAAACTATGTTGCTGCCAGTCAGACTAGTGCACACCTGTCTCTACCGAAACTCTGCTCCTGAAACACTATATTAATGAAATCATTTTAAATGTTGCTTAGTCCTTCCAGACAGTTTGGCAAAAAGACAAAACTACTATCAGAGCTGCATTAAACCCTGCAGCTTGTCGGCTCAGCTTAACAGAAAAGCGTGACAGTACGAGAAGCAGCTCTGGCTTCCTGTGCTCGGACAAAATAGCCACCCCACATAACCACAGCTTGCTCGCTCAAATAATATATAACTCCAGCACAGCCAGGCCACCATTTTCCACACTATTATGCTTTTAATTGAACTGGGTCTTTTGATGCATGGCATAAAGCAGCTTCGCAAATGATTTATGGTTTAAAGTTACTATAGAACTGATGCAACTTCGTATTAATGTAAAACTGTATGCGTTTACTTTTCCTTAGGTAGCAAGTTGAAAACAGAAAACAAGTTAAAAGCCTTATCACCACTACAGCACACAAGTTACAGTAGTTACTGGCACATATAACTGAGACTTCTCTTTTTAAAGATACAACACTGTTTAAAAGTGTGATTTCTTTATATTTTGCCAGGAAAATTTAAAATAGATGGAATTATTTATATAGTATATTTATAGATTTAATAAGAAAAAACTGAGGTTGTGTGTTTCTAACAAGCTTTAAAGTCACTATTTGGTCACTTTATTTTTTTTTAACACATCCTGAACTCTTTCTTTTCTTCTAATTTTCTGATGTTGTTTTCAGGAATAGTTTTCCAGGCTTCTTGAAGGACATTCAAAACCCTTTTTGCTGCCTTTTGTTTCATCCTCTGTTGAGGTGATAGTTCTCCATTGTGTGTTTCTCTATCCAGAAATGCTTTTGCTGCACTCTCAGTGTGTTTGGGATCATGCTGAAAAATGAAGCAATGCCAAACAGACACTTTCCAGATGGTACATTTCTGTATTCATAATTCCATCAGTATTC